AAAGCCCTAATGTTAAAAAAAAAAAAAAGGAAGATAGGAATAGTGAATAAAAAACTGAGTAAGTGAGTTCTGCTAGTAATAGGAATTTTTTGATAAAAGTAAAGGAATGTCATGAAAATATTATTTTCAATTTCTGTGTGCTTTTCCCTGAAGCTTGTATATTTACCTGTAAAACATTAGTGAATATGTGCATAAGCAGAAAGTTATATATGCACACATCAGAATGGAAAAATAAAAATCATTGTGTGTGATTAAGCAGCTATGTGCAACTACTTGAAATCTGGAGATATTCAACTATTGCTACTCTTCATTGTTAAAAAAAAAAAGAAAGAAATTTCACTGCCATCGATTCCAACTCATAGCAGGCCCCATTGGGTTTCCAAGGTGGTAAATCTTTACGGAAGTAGATTGCCTACTTTTCCTTCCACAGAGTGGCTGGTGGGTTTGAACTGCCAATCTTCTCGTTAGCAGTCAAATGCCTTAGGCACTACACCAAACAGAAAAAAGAATTCTTGACTTGGAAAAATTTTGAGGATACAATTTTTGGATAATATTTACAAAAAAATCCATAATAACAAAAATGATACAGCTTCATAAATTGAGTTAGCTAAATGAGACAATTAAGGGAGAGAGAGAGTTGTTTGTTTAACTTGTTAGGTTTTTTGTTGTTGTTGTTGTTATTGTTGTTCTTTTTTTTTCCTTATCATAAAATCTAGGCATACTTATTGTTAAAAAAATTAATAATAAGAAGAAAGCATTATAGTATTTAGAATTACCTAAACTTCTACCAACTAGAAGTAAGTATGCAAAATATTTTGATTTATCCCTCAAAATTAATATTTGCATCATAACAAAGTGAATGAGGAGATTAAATGAATAAATTGAAGTCCAATCTTCTTAATATTTATATTCAAACATACCTAATAGCCCAGCCTCTACCCAACTCACCAGCCTCGGGTATAGCCACTACTGAGAGAATCTGCAAGCTAATGCCTGGTCTCAGTTTGTCTCAGCTTCGTAACTGTGATCCAATGAGCACAATATTCTGACTGAAAATCCTCTCCCTGAACAGGAGTAGTTGCTCTCCTGGGGCTCCATGGGATGAGAGCATTGAAAAACAACTCATTGACAATTGTAACCACAGGTTAATGGCCATAAAAAAAAACACATGTCTGAAGGAAACCTTTGGGACTTTCAGTTTTCTCCTCTTATGTTTCCAATTTTTAAGAAATTCTTATTTTCTGACAGCCCCACTATTTCTGGTTACTCTCTTGCCATCATACTCACAGGAATAATATCTAAGGAAACCTATAATTCCATCTCTTGTTACCCAGGATGATATTTTCTCTAATTTGTTCAACAAATATCATTTACCAGATCTAGAAATCAGTTAAGTCATTGAGTCATTATTGAAGATTAAATGTGTCTTCAGATGTGTCTAATACCCATAATGCTTTCCCCCAAGAGGCTTATATTCTGGTTGTACAGATAATACTTACAGATATATAAATAATATATTTTTTCCTTTTTTAAAAAATTGTGATTTAGATGAAAGTTTACAGAGAAAATTCATTAGCCATACAATAACAGTTCATACACATTTTTCATGACATTGACCGCACTCCTCATAATGCAACAGGTCTCTGCCCACTTTCTCCCTGTGGTTCCCTTTTCCCTGTGTTCTTTCCTATGCAGTCCTGCCCTCTGAGCTATCTCGCTGTACAAATACTGCCCTTCTGCTCTCCCATGGTTGGTTAGTCAAAGGAATATACCTACCTGGTGTAAATATTCACCTTATAAACCTGATTTAGTTTGGCTGGAAGCCACAGAGTGAGTTCAATTCCAGGCCCAAAGGGTGACTGGGACACGATCTCAGGAGTTTCACCAGTCTCTATCAGACCAAATTATGGGTAACATTGAGAAAAATAGGAATCCCAGAACACTTGATTGTGCTTATGAGGAACCTATCTTTCAAACAGAACAAGGAGATGCTGCATGGTCTAAAATCAGGAGAGGAGAGTGTCAGGTTGCATCATTTCACCACACTTGTTCAATCTGTGTGCTGAGCAAATAATCTGAGAGGCTGGACTATATGAAGAAGAATACAGCACCAGGACTGGAGGAAGATCCTAACAAACTTTGATATGCAGATGACACAACCTTGCCTGCTGAAAGGGAAGATGACTTGAAGCACTTACTGATGAGATTAAAAACTGCAGTCTGCAGTATGGATTACAAACATCCCAACATAAAGAAAGTGAGAATCCTCACAACTTGACCAATAAGCAGCATCATGATAAATGGAGAAAAGATTGAAGTTGTTAAAGATTTCACATTATTTCTTTCCACGATCAGTACCAATACAAGCAGCAGTCAAGAAATCAGATGATATATTGCACTGGGCCAATCTGCTGCAAAAGACATCTTTAAAGTGCTGAAGAACAAAGATGTCTCTTTGAAGACTAAGGTGGGCCTAATCCAAGCCATAGTATTTTCAATTACCTCATATGCATGTAACAGCTGGATAATGAATAAGGAAGACCAAAGAAGAGTGGATGCTTTTGAGTTGTGGTGTTGGTGAAGAATACTGAAAGGACCATGGACTGCCAGAAGAACTATCAGATCTGTCCTGGAAGAAGTGAAGCATTCCAAGGAATGCTTCTTGGAAGGGAGAATGGACAGACTTCTTTTGACCTACTTTGGTCATGTCATAAGGGACCATTCCCTGGAGAAGGATATCATGCTTGGTAAAGTGGAGGGTCAGCAAAAAAGGGGAAGTCCCTCAACAAGATGGATTGATACAGTGGCTGCAAAGATGGGCTCAGGTATAGCAAGTATTGTGAGGCTGACACAACAACAGGCACTGTTTCATTCTCTTGTACATAGGGTGACTATGAGTTGGAGCTGACTCAAATGGCACCTAATAACACCAACAGCAACATTCAAATCAGTATCCTGGTCTTTTTTTTTTTTAATCATTTTGAGTTTTGTTCCACATTTTTCTCCCACTCTATCAAGGATCTCCTATTTTGATCCCTTTCCAGTTGGTTGACTGTGGTAGCCAGGCACCATCTAGTTCTTCTGGTCTCAGGATCATGTAGGCTGAGGTTTAAATGGTCCTCTAGTCCCCTGAACTAATTGTTTGCATGCATCTTTTGTTTTATTCATTCTTCTTTTGCTCTGGATGAGGAGATATCAATCGTTGCATCTAGATGGCTACTTGCAGGCTTTTAAGACCCAGTTGCTACTCACCAAAGAAGGATGTAGAACAATGTTTTGTGTGGTATGTTATGTCAGTTGAACTTGATATCACCCCCATGGCTGTGGTTCCAAGCTCATGGTTCCAGTAACTCACTCTCTCAGGGTGTTTGGCTGTGGCTAAGAAGTTATTATAACTTTGCCCCATAGCTTTATTATATAAATATATATATATATATATATATATAGAGAGAGAGAGAGAGAGAGAGAGAGAGAGAGAGAGAGAGAGACATTCTTATAGCACATACAAATACTTATGTAGAAATATCATCTGCCAAACTTATATATGGTTATGGGCATATCCCATTTTTCCCAGGCATACCTCATCATATAGCCTGTATTCCTGTGTATCCACTCATAGATTGATGTTTTTTTATTATGGATAATGCAATATTATGTATGTGAAAGTGTTTATCTTTGTTGTCTGTACCTCGTGCACCACTCTGTGTCTTCTTTTTCCTTAGTGTTATTGTGTTGGTCACTCACTTTTGGTATATTGCCTTTCCCTACACCCAAATCAATATTTTTCTCTCTTACCTATCTAGCAATTTTCTCTCCTCTCCTCTTTCATCCCTGGTAACCAACAAAGTTTCTTTCCATATATGAACCTTTCCTTCACTTTATACAATAGTGGACTAATAACAATATTTGTCCTTTTGTGATCGACTTATTTCCCTCAGCATAATGTCCTCCAAGTTCATCAACATTATGAGGTATTTCCCAGATTCTACATTATTCTTTAGTGTTGCTTAGTATCCTATTGTGTGTATGCACCAGAGTTTGGTTATCTATTCCTCCGTTGATGAGAACATAGTTTGTTTCTATCTCTTTGCAATTGTGAATAATGCTGTGATGAACATGGGTGTGCACATATTCATGTTCTGGCCCTCACTTCTTTATACCTGGCAATGGGATTTCTGGGTCAAATGGTATTTCTATTTCCAACCCTTTAAGGAATCATTATACCACTTTCCACAGTAGTTGTATCATTTTACAGTCCCACCAACAGTATATGAGAGTATCAGTCTCTCCATATCCTCACCAACTTTTTTTATTTTCTGTCTTGTTGAATTTTGCTATTAATACTGGGTAAGAAGATATCTCATTGTTGTTTTAATTTGTATCTCTGTAATGGCTACTGATCATGAACATTTCTTCATGTGTTTGTTGGCTGCCTGAATATCTTGTTTGCTGAAGTGTCTGTTCATGTCTTCTGCACATTTTTTATTTGGATTATTTATCTTTTTGATGTTGAGGTATTGGGGTTTTCTATAAATTCTTGAGGTAAGTCCCTCATGAGATAAGTCATATTTTCCCAATCTGTGGGTTCTCCTTTTGTTTTTTGGAGAAGTCTTTTGATGCACATAAGAATTTAATTTTTAGAAGATCCCTGTCATATGATTTATCTTCTGCTGTTTGTGCATTTTTACTTATGTTTGGTAGTCTATTAATGCTATATATTAATCTCAAAAAACCAAACCCACTGCCATCGAGTCAATTCCAACCAATAGTGAACCCCATTTCCAAGGTGATAAATCTTTACAGAAGTAGATTGCCCCATCTTTCAGAGCCCCTATATTTACCCCTATTTTTCCTTTGATGAACTTTATAGCTTTAGGTTTTATTTTAAGTCCTTGGGTCATCTAGAGTTAGTTTTTGTGTATGGTGTGAGATATGGATCTTGCTTCATTTTTTCTGCAAATTAGTATCCAGCTTTGCCAGCACTGTTTTTTAAAGAGACTGTTGTTGTTGTTGTTGTTGTTATTTGCTGTCGAGTCGGCCTGACTCATAGCGACCCCTCCTTGGGTTACCTAGGCAGTATCGCTACGGATGTAAGATTGCCCAACCTTCCTTCCGAGGAGTGGCTGGTGGGTTTGAACCGCCAGCCTTCTGGTTAGCAGTCAAGTGCCTTAGGCACTATGCTACCAGAGCTCCTTAAAGAGACTACATCTTCCCCATTTAATTTCAGACCTTTGTCAAAAATCAGCTGACCGTAAGTGGATGGACCTATATCTGGGTTCTCAATTGGGTTCCACTGGTCTGTATGCCTGCCTTTGGACCAATACCAGGTTTTTTTTTTTTTTTTAATGCATTTCATTGAAATATAAGTTATGTGCAATGAAATACACAAAACTAAAGTGACAAGTGACATGGGTCAATGCATTTTTTATTTTTGCAGTGTTCCCTCCCCACACCTCCCACCCCTGACAACCAACAAAGAAAGTTTCCCTCCATATATAAACTTTTCCTTGACCCTCCACAGCAAGGAACTAATACCATATTTGTCCTGTGATTGACTTATTTCACTCAGGATGTAATGTCCTACCAGTTCTCCATGTTATGTGGTATTTTGCAGATTCTACATTATTCTTTAGTGCTGCATAGCATTCCATTGTGTGTATGTACCATAGTTTGGTCATGCACTCTTCCGCTGATGGGCACATAGGTTGTTTCCATCTTTTTGCTATTGTAAATAGTGCTGCAATGAACATGGGTGTGCATATGTCTGTTCTTATCCTGGCCCTCACCTTTCTAGGATATATACCTAGTAATAAGATTGCTGGGTCAACTGGTATTTCCAATTTCAGCTTTCTAAGGAATCGCCATACTGCTTCCCACAGTGGTTGTATCACTTCACAGTCCCACCAGCAGTGTATGAGACTCCCAATCTCTTCACATCCCCGCCAGCATTTGCTATTTTCTGTCTTGTTGAATCTTTCCATCAGTGCCGGGATGAGATGGTATCTCGTTGTTTTGATTTGCATCTCTCGGATGCCCAATGATCGTGAGGATCTCTTCATGTATTTGCTGTCCACCTGAATATCCTGTCATCTGAAAACTAGAGAAACGAGTCTCTACAGGACTCTTTGGTGATCAGACAACATAAATGTGAAGACTTTTTAAAAAAATATAATCCTTACAAAATCCAATAAAATATTTAATATCCTTAAACTCAAGACTTCAACTTGTCATATTCACTTTTGCTCCACTGACTTCTATTTTTTTAAAAAATAAACCCAGTCTTATGGCATATGGAGGAAATGTGAATTCTAAGACAGATTCTTCATGGCCTTGACTGGTTAACTATCTTTTTTTAAAAATAAAAATCTATAACAAAAAGTTTTTATTGTGATTTTGGTACAGTTTTAAAGCAGATTCATTTTACATTAAACAGTTTATACATATTTTGTTTTGTTACACTGATCACAATCCTCACAATGCAATAGCTCTCCTCCCACCTCCTCTCTGTTTACCCTTTCCCTGTGTCCTTCTTACCTATGCATCCCTGCCTGCTTAGCTTTTGCCCTGTGCAATTCTGCCCTTCTGATCTCCCATGGTTGACTGTTCATGGACTGCATCTCCCTGATGTAGTTGTTCAATGTATAGGCCTGTCTATTGTTTGGCTGAGGGTTAAGCCACTGAAGAGAGTCCAATTCCAGGCCCGAAGGGTGACTCAGAGCCCTATTCTCAGGGATTTCAGCACTGTCTATCAGACCATTAATCTTGATCATTTTTACTTTCTTAAATTGTGTTGTACATTTTGTCTCACAGTCTTTCCAGGATCCCCAATTTGGATCCTTTTTTAAGAGGTTGACATTGGTAGCCAGACACCATCTAGTTCTTCTGGTTTTAGAGTCATGTAGGCTGAGCTTCCCTAGGTCCATCAGTCCCTTGGACTAATTGTTTCCATATGTCTGATTTTCTTCACTCTTCTTTGCTCCAGATGAGAAGAGAGCAATAATTTCATCTTAGATGACCACTCACAAGATTTTAAGACACCAGTCACTACTTACCAAAGTAGGACGTGGAACAATGTTTTTGTGTACTATGTTCAGCCAATTGAGCTTCATATCCCCCATCACCATTGTCCCAAGCCCCACATGGTAAGCAACTCACTCCCTCAAGTATTTGATTGTAGCTAAGAAGTTGTCCTTACTTTGTCCCCGTTAACTCTATAATGCATGTGGACATTTTTACAACACATAAGAGCACATATGTAGGAGTATCATCTGCCAAACCTATGTATGCTCATAGGTATATTCCCATTTGCCTACCCATACTTGATCTTCTTGCCTGTCTACCTATGTATCCACCCATAGATTAGTTTTAGTAATTACTGATAATGCAGTATTGTGTATGTAATATTTACCTTGGTTATCTGTACCTCTTATGCACTTCTCTGTCTTCCTTTTCCTTAGTGATATTGTGCTGGTTACACACTTTTCTTACATTGCTTTTCCCTTCACCCAAATCAACACATGGCTCTTAAATAGCCATCTATTTTCCCTGCCCTCCCCTCACATCTCTGTTGTTGTTGTTATTTGCCATCGAGTCGGCCCCAACTCATAGCGACCCCTCCTTGGGTTTCCGAGGCAGTATCACTACGGAAGTAGGATTGCCCAACCTTCCTTCCGAGGAGTGGCTGGTGGGTTTGAATTGCCAGCCTTCTGGTTAGCAGTCAAGTGCCTTAGGCACTATGCTACCAGAGCTCCTCTCACATCTCTAGTAACCAACAAAGAAAATATCCTTTCCTGTATAAACCTTTCCTTAACTTTTTATAATAATGAACTCAAACAATATTTGTCCTTCTATGATTAACTTATTTCACTCAGCACAATGTCCTCTAAATTCATCCACATTATGAGGTGATTCACAGATTCTTCATTATTCTTCAATGTTGCATATTATTCCACTGTGTGTATGTACCATAGTTCAGTTGTCCCTTCATCTGTTGATGGGTACTTAGGTTGTTTCCATCTCTTTGCTATTGTGAATCATGCTGCAATGAACATCATATGGGTGTGCATTTATCTGTTCATGTCCCAAATCTCACCTCCTTAAGGTATTTTCTTAGCAGTGCAAGGATTGGATCAAATGGTAATTCTATTTCCAACTTCTTAAGGAAGTGCTATACAGTTTTCCACACTGGTTGTACCATTTTATCATTCCACCAGCAATGTATGAGAGTTTTAATCTCTCCACATCTTCCCCAGTATTTGTTGTTTCTGTCTTGTTGAATTTTGCTATTATTTCTAGAATGAGGTGATCTCTAATTGTTGTTTTGATTCCATCTATCTAATGGCTAATGAGAGATCTTTTGTGGTGTACTGGTTAATGTATTTGGCTGCTAACTAAAAGGTCAGTGGTTGGAATCCACCAGCCACTCAATGCAAAAAGAGGCAGTTTGCTTCCACAAAGATTTACGGCCTAATAGGGTGCACTATGAGTCAGAATTCACTTAATGGCAGTCAGTTTCTTTTTGATTTGGTTTTAATGGCTAATGATCATGAGCATTTATTCATGTGTTTGTTGGCTGTCTGAATATCTTCTTTGGCAAAGTGTATGCTCATGCCCTTTGTTCATTTTTTAATTTGAGTGTCTTTTTGATGTTGAAGTATTGAAGTTTTCAATAAATTTTAGAGATAAGTCCCTTGTCAGATATGTCATAACCAAATATTTTTTTCTGATGCATGAGTTCTCCTTTTATTCTTTCGGAGAAGTCTTTTGCAGTACGTAACAATTTGATTTTTAAAAGGTCCAAATCATCTAGTTTATCTTCTGCTGTTTGTGCATTCTGTGCAATGTTTGTTAGCTATCCTTCCTGAATAAAATTCTCAACACTTGTTCCCTAATCTGCTTGGTCCTGACCCCATAGATTACAGGATTGAGGGCTGGTGGAACAACTATGTATAAATTGGCCAAAAAGATATGGATATATAGAGGGACATTGTGCCCAAAACGATGTGTCAAAAAAGAGAAAAATGCTGGCACAAAAAAGGCTAAGATAACTCCAATGTGAGAACCACAAGTATTGAGAGCTTTGAGTCGGGCTTCCCAGGAAGGCAGATGGAAAACAGCATGAAGAATCCTGACATAGGAAAAAATAATAAGGAACACATCCAATAGTAAAACAGACATATCCCCAAGGCCAAATATTATGTTGACTTTGATGCTGGCACAAGCCAGACGGGCAATGCCCATGTGTTCACAGTAGGTATGAGGGATAATATGGTGCCCACAGAAGGGCAACTTCAGGAGGAGAAACACGAGTGGAGCAACCATACAAATGCTCCGCAGGGTAGCAATCCCTGCAATGACGCTGATGATTTTGCTGGTGAGGATCATGGTGTATCGAAGAGGTTTGCAAATGGCAATGTAGCGGTCAAAGGCCATGGCCACAAGTACAATGCTCTCCATGGCAGTGAAGAAGTGAATGAAGAACAACTGGGAAAGGCAGCCTCCAAAAGATATATCCCTGAGGTTAAACCAGAAGATGCCCAGCATTTTGGGGATGGTAGCTGTGGACAGGCCCATGTCAATGGAGTCCAGCATGGCCAGGAAGTAGTACATGGGCTCATGGAAAGTGTGCTCAGTCTGGATCACAAACAGGACAGCAGCATTCCCCAGGAGTGCAACAAGATACAAAAATAAAAAAGGGAATCCAATCCAGATGTGCACATCTTCTAGCCCAGGGATGCCCAGCAGGAGAAATGAAGAAGGATGGAACTGGGTATCATTAGGAATGGACATTCTTCCTGCCACTCTTAGCTCCTATGTATATTAGAGTTAGATGTTGAGTTCTCGTTAATGGTTCTTTCTCCACTTCCTTCTTTGTCCAGATTCCTGATAAAATGCAAAATAAATATTGCAATATTCCTTTTCTCCCATTCAATATCATACAAACTTTTCTGCTATCTCTGTCTGAGCACTAGAGGGCTCCGGGGATAGAGACATCCTTACTATTCCCCATATCATTTCTACCCATAAATGGTTGAACAGGAAAAGAGTGGTAAGGAATAAAGAATAAAACAGATGAGAATAATAAAAGTCTTTGTTCTTTGCATCTGGTAATGTTACACACATTGCATTTAATTTATATGAAGAATAAATTTAGACCAACTCATTCTCTTGTGGGGCTAGTTGAGGACCTTTAAAATATATATGCTTGAGTGTGTATATGTTCTTCTATCAGATTCTGAAAGCAGATATCACAAATCCACTTATGTTTACTCATGTACCTAAAATACTAAACACATACAAATTCTCAGATAAAATGTTTGTTAAGTGAATGAGTAATAGGGGAAAAGGCAGAACAATTCATGCCCCAGATGATTAGCAACAGAATTTCCATCTTAACTAGGTTTTTAAAAAAGCCATCTACATCTGAAATATTTTGGATATTTTAAATAGGACTTTTAGTTAGGATGAAAGTTGCATTTATGAAACACTTTAAATTAAAATAGTATTGTTTTCATAATTCATCAAATCCACAAACTTCCACTTCATTAAAAAAAGCTGTGTTTGTAATGCCAATTGGGGATACCTGAAAAGTTTCCAATTTCCTGCACTATATCCTGTTTAAATTCTGTCTAAACTAACCCTGCTTATGTAAGGAAAAGGAATATCATTTGAGATTCTCTTGAGATTACTATCCAACAAAGCAGATCTCTATGCCAGATCTTTGGTTTTTCTGGTTATCCTTCCCTTGATACTAAATAAATGTTCATTTATTAAGTGATTTTGTTATATAGTAAGTAGCTTGAATGTCAAATGTTGAATATATTTACCGTGAGTTAATATCTTGAGGCAATAGACATACTATTCATTACTGGGTAGCTATACTTGGGATGAAATAATTTTACAAAGCATGTAGAAATGATCAGCTCTGGAGATGGATGCAAGTTGGGGTAGTTCATACTTGAGTGGCACCCAGTGGAGATGGAGACCTAGAAAAGGCATTATGTACTCCTTTAACTCAGGAAAGGATCAGCCTCCAGCAAAGAATGTGGTACATCTGTGCCCTATGAAGAGTGGCAGAAATGAGAAAAAAATCTGGGACAGTATATAAAAAAAAACTGAAGCTGTATAATAACTTGGGTTGCTGAGACAGGGAACAAAATAGGTGATGAAATATTTAGTCCTCTTTTCAGTTCTGCACAAGAAAACTGTCAGATATCAATGAATCAATAAGAGAGGTGGAGCAGTACCATTCACAGTTTATTTTAGCAAATATGTATTGACTTCCTGCTATATACTAGACCCTGCATTGAGGAATTTAGACAGAAATTTGAATAAGACTTTGCTCATCCTCTCACAATGTAATGAGGGAGATATAAGTGAAACTATGAAATTTGAATAAAATATTGTGTTATGCTAGAAAAATACAGGAAAAATAGTTGTGGGTATGAGTTAAGACAAAAACAAAAAGCTTCAGGAAGGAGGTAAAATGAATCAAAGGCTCAACTATATTTTTCTAGACAAAGAAGCATGGAAAGTTTCTTCAAGGTAAATGGAAAAGCATGTATGAATTGAGAATGGGAAGCAAAATTATCAGGGGTCCTACTTTGTGGGGTGAGTTCATTGTTTTGCCATCCAAGACCTGGACTCATTGGCCCTCTATACAACCTTCTCCACATAATAGTGATTAACCAGTAGCTGGGTCACTCCCAACACCTTCTTAGAATATGAAGTCAAAGAAGTATTACTATTGTTTTTTCCAAAGCTCTAAAGCTGGGAACCCCATCCTATTCTCCCTAAAGGTTTTCTAAAAGGGGTCCCCAGAATTGGTGTCCTTCTGAACATCAAAATAGCTATATTTACAACTTGATCAATAATGTGCAAAGCAGGCAATCAATTATCAATTCCACAAGTACATACACATCTATTCTGTCAATAAATATTCATAGATCTTTCAATATTTACCAGATACTGTGAGACCAGGCTCTTCTCTTTGAGACAACAAGTTCCAATGTCCTGAAAAAAAATTATATCAAATAGTCCTATCATATTCCACATACTCTATAATATTCCACAGCATCCCATCACACACACCTACCTATGGGTATAAACACCATCTTATGTTCTGTAACTGACAAAGATAAGGAGAAGAGATTCTCAACCAAAGAAAATTTTGCCTCCAGGAAACATTTTACAATGACTAAATAAATTGTTGGTTGTCAAAACTGGGAGGAAGTGCTACTGAAATCTACTGGGCACAGGCCAGGGATGTAGTTAAACATCCTACAATTCATAGTGCAGCCATTAAGGACAAAGAATTTTCTGGCCTAAAAATGTCAGCAGTGCCATGCTGAGGCATTTCCTGGTCTCATGACATAAGTGAATATGAAACTACCTGAACTATCTACACATTATCTCATTTCTCAGCTGCCTTCTCACGTTGGTCGTGGCTTCTATTAAAAACAACAATAACAAACAAACAAACAAAAAACCCTCTAACAGCCTTCATGGGAGCTCTGGTGGCGTAGTGCCTAAGGCATTTGACTGCTAACCAGAAGGCTGACAGTTCAAACCCACAAGCAGCTCCTCAGAAGGATGGTGGTCAATCTACTTCCATAGTGATACTTTCTCGGAAACCCAAGGAGGGGTGGCTATGAGTCAAGTCAGACTCAACCGCAGTGGGTTGGGTTTAATAGCCTTCATGACCATGTGCATTTACTCACAAATTCCTTTGTTTAACAACATAATTACTGATTTCATGTACTAAGCCAGACAATGTGCTAGGTACAGAGAAAACATAGTCCTTGAACTCTTAATGGTCACATTTATTCCCTAGTGTATAAAGTAAGAAACAACAGCTGGACAGATACAGAGTTTTCTTCTGCATTTTACCTCTGGCTTCATGTCGGGGCTATGGATACAAAGAAATATATGTATATGTGGGAACTTGTGTATAACCATGGTAGTTTATGCGTATAAAATCCCCGATGCCCAAATCTTGCCTGTGTGTTCTTTCGTCCTTTTCATTCCTCCCAACTCTCTACTATACACCTTCTCTCTTTCCTAGCTTAGCATGAACTCATTCTCCATCTCTCAAGCTATTTCCCACAGCTCAAAACAAAATAACACAGCTTTACCTTGATTTCCAAATGTCTCTGAGAGGCTGGACTTTGAAAACATCATCTGACATCTCTCTGAGATCACATTTCCTAAGCAAGGAATAGGCATTTATACTGGTGCCGCAGTCCTGCACCCACTAGGATGGGGACTGTAGTCTCCTTGGATTTCTGACAGAGAGCGAGTGATATTCACTGGAGAGTTCTCATAAGAAACTTCCCTCTATACACTGGAACTAAGGGGCAAGAAGCATCTACTCCTTCTAAAGAGAGTCTGTACATTTTCTGCTTTCCAAATTAAAAGCCCTGGTTGACACCTAGGCTGTTAAGGTAATTCTCTGCCATCTTCTTCAATGGATTATTCTATCAGTCTTTCCTTGTTCTTTTTTCCTGCATCATCTCCATCATGGATTGTTGTCATTGCTTTGTGCTGTCAAGTTGGTTCCAAATCATAGTGATGCGTCTTCCACCACCCTCACAATCATTGCTGTGTTTGAGCCCATTGTGCAGCACTGTGTTAATGCATCTTGTTGAGAACTTTCTTCTTTTTTTTTTTTTTTTTTTGCTGACTCTCTAGGCATGATATCCTTCTCCAGGAACTGGTTCCCTTAATAACACGTCCAAAGATGAAGTCTTGCCATGTTTGCTTCTAAGGAGCATTCCAGCTGTACTTCTTCCAAGTCAGATTTATTCATTGTTCTGGCAGTCCACACTATATTCAGTATTCTTCACCAAAACCATATTTCAAAGGCATCACTTTTTTTTGGTTTTTTGTTTTATTTATTTTCTAGCTTTTGCAGCATATGAGGCAACTGAAAATATCATGGCTTGGGTCAGGCACACCTTAGTCTTCAAAGTAAAATCTTTGCTTTTCAACACTGTAAAGACATCTTTCAAAGAAGATTTACCCCCACGCAATACGTCTTGATTTCTTGTTCTGGCTTTTGATCTATGTACAGATTCCACATGGTCACAAAAAAAGTGTTTTGGAATTACCATTCTTTGCAATATTTTCCATAACTTGTAATGAACCACATAATTGGATGCCTTTGCATACTCAATAAAACAGGTAAACATCTTTCTGATATTCTCTGCTTTCAGTCAAGATACATCTGATATCAGCAATGATATCCCAAGTTCTACATCCTCTTCTGAATCCAGCTTGAATTTCCAGCTTGAATTCCCCATCGATGTACTGCTGCAAACCTTTTTGAATTAACTGTTTTCGGCAAAATTTTATTTCCATGTCATATTAATGATATTGTTTGATAATTTCCTCATTCTGTTGGTTCTTCTTTCTTGGAAGGGTGATGAATATGGATCTCTTCCAGTCAGTCAGCCAGGTAGCTGTCTTTCAGATTTCTTAGTGTGGACAAAGGAACACTTCTGTTTCAACTGGTATTCCATTAGTTTCTGGAGCCTTATTTTCTGCCAATGCTTCTGTGCAACTTCGACTTCTTCCTTCAATACCTTTGGTTCTTTATCAAATGTTACCTCCTGAAATGGTTAAATGGCAACCAATTCTCTTTGGTACAGTGACTTTGCATATTCCTTCCATCTTCTTTTGATGCTTCCTGAAATTGCATGATAGAATTTTGCATGATTAATGACTTACTCATTGCAAAAACCTTCTCTCAACAACATAAATGGTGACTATACATGTTGTTGTTGTTGTTA